TATATATATATATATATATATATTCTATTATTTTTTTTCGGAACGATAGAGGTTTATATTTAATTTTTCCTAATAAATATGCATGTATATATATTCTAATATTTGTTTTTCCTAGAACGATAGAGATTCTATAAAACGCACAGTGCGAAAAGAAAACCAGCCAAAGGTTGAATGATACAACCAACGGCTGAATAGACTGGGAGGTAGACCCGAAGATCACCTAAAGTTGGACCTAGCAACACTAGAAAACACAAATACAACACTGAAAAACAAATTCTACTACTAACTCCCAAGCAGGAGACTAGATGATCTTAAAAGGATAATGCCCAAATGAGAATCGATCCGAAAAGGATAATACCTCTCTCACTCGGGTTAAAACAGAGGCCGAAAGCCCAAACCAGAAACACATACCTACAAAACAGACTAAACTAAACATAACATAACAAACACTGCACGAAACAAAACGAGCCCTTCCCAAGCAGCTAGACCAAGCATAGCCAACGAAACTAAGTCAACCAAAACTGAATCCCACAGCCAAAGAGGACCAACTATGAAACTACCAAACACCAACCCAGTGGCCTAGCTAAGTCGAAATCCAAGCCTCGAAACATCACCCAAAGCCGTACTCGAACTACAACCACAACACCTAACTGCCAAAGAACCGCCATTGGACCAGACCCTCTAAACCACTAGTGAGTCTGATAGTTCCTGGTGAACCCTCTGAAGCTCAGAGCATGAGAAGAGGGAGAGAGAGTAAGAAGATGTCAAGGCAGCAACCTCGACCCCTAAACCACTCAAAACCACCAAGATCCTCCACCCACCACCGCGCCATACCGCTCCAACACCACTGGCCGGAAGACGGAGAACTGGTACTCACTCACCCAATGCCAGAGTACAGGGGGGAAGGACAAGAACCGTGGTGAAGCTCTGTGTTATACCCCGAGTTTTATTAATAAAGGAAAATACTAGCTTTCAGTTTTAAGCTAGCCTTTGTTAGTAAATAATTATGTTCATGTTCAAGTTCAAGTGATTCAGTCAGTCATATTCCAAGTTCGACTATTAGTCGATAAGTTTTCAGATTTAATTCCGATTCATTTAATTAGTTAATGAGTCCGGAATTAATAAGTCAAGTTGACGAACTATTCGAAATATTTATGTTCGGATTAATCTTCTAAGTCAAAATAAGGTTCCGAGGTTAAGTTATAACCGAAAATGAGTACGTTCGGTTAAGATTACCATATATGGACGTCGTCATTCCTATACAGCGACGCGTTCACATTGGTACACCGTCCATCATTAATTAGGCAATGGTCATTAGTCCTTTCTTAATTAACTTAATCCATGTTTAAGCTAATTAATCATAATTAGCTTATAATCATGATTAGTTTAATGTTAATGATAATTAATTAACATTAATCACGATTAGTTTAATGTTAATCATGCTTAAGGATAATCATGTTCATTTAGTGTTAATTCATGTTTAGGCCTAATTAGGTCCTATGCTTAGGCTTAAACCAGAAATTACACGCACGCACGCATGTCGTGCATAGCCGTGCGTGTATGCGCGCACGCAACTGTACATAGTGCACGTTGCCGTGCATAGCGCGCATCACTAAGCCGCCGCTCATCATTAGGATATGTGGTACTAGGTATCATGATTAAACTAAGCAACCCCTAAGCTAATGCCTATGTTATTGCCTAGAGAGAGGCTACCAAGATAAGGGTTGGTGCAACTTGCACCATGATTCACCTACTTGCTTGGACACATGGCCCAAGCATAGCCTACGTGTGATGACCAAGCATGTGCATGTGTGCCACCTCGGGTGATGACTAAGCCGAGCATGCACCACCTCATCACACGTCCGGACACTTGTCGTCAAGGGAAGAAGCATCATCCTTCACCTCTCTTGTCCCAAGATTGGTCCCAACGAATGTTTTCATCTCTTTACCATATATATATAAGTATACGGCCATGCATTTTCATGCATTTTCACGCAAGGAACCGAGCTTAAATATCAGCCAAGTACTAAGGAAAAATAATGAGTAAAATATTATAGAAAAATTGTAGAAAATAGCTAAAGGTTACCGAAGCCAAAGGATGATCAAACACGCGTGAGATCAAAGGACTATGTCCATTCTTGTGATTTTAGCCGAGCAATTAGGAAGGTAACTTCATGTTCAGCATCTTTTCATGTTAATTAGAGCATGTGAAGTTCAGTTTGTCCAGCTCATGTCAAGAAATTCATGTTAATAGCAAGTTATGCTCGGTTTATGTCATATTAGGTCATGACCGAGTAAGTTTATGTTTTACCCGGCAACTCATGTGC